CTTATAATTGGTTTCAAATTGACTTTATATGCAATCAAAAGTAGTCAAATATATTCACAAAACATATTAAAGCTTATTCAATAACATAAGTGTAAGATATTTCCTCACACAATTCTCAACACCAACTTTCGAACTTACAAATTGATGAAGACTACAATGAGTTAAAGCCAATGTGATTTGTAACTTAAAAGATATTTTTATTAGCTTAAACAATATTTATTTCTTCTTTGCGTGTATATAACAACATTTTGATTTTTTGGGGGGATTCGATAACAATTTATTATTATCTACACCGGGGTAGATTCTGGGAGCTCCCAGAATCTACCCGGGTATACTCTGAAGGGGGGTAGATTTTGGCAGCTTACACCGAGTTTGATTCCCTGCATGGGTGCAGTAATTTGATGCCCATTAATGTTTATGTCCCTGGCCATGATATTCCCGAAATATTACTAAAAAGGCAACTCACTCAACCATCCATTTCACAGATTCGTCCGAAATATATATTGTTCAGTGATTGTTGATAGAATCCTAAACTGGATGGAGAGCGTAATGGCGGATGTCATGAAACAACTGTTTCTTGTGTTCGTGACCTCAAGTTGAGTTATATACCTACTGTCACTTATGCCTAGTATGTATTGTAGGTGTCTTCCTATCTGGTACAAACAGGCAACCAATACCTTCAATACAAAACAGTCGATATTGTACTATTAGGGGTCATGTTTTTTATACGTTCAAATCTTGAACCAACTACCCTGAACTACCCAGAACTGCAAGATTAAACTCTAACCAGTTTTTACATATATCTCTCCCTAAATCCATCCAGAGATGATATTAACTTCTTGACTGTTCAGATTCAGGGTTCCTGTAGAATGATGGTGATAAGGTACATAGTATCACACATGTCCATCCCCAGATCTGAGACCGCCTCCGTGGTCTTGTGGTAGAGCATCCGCCAGGAGATCGGAAGGTTCGGGGTTCTATCCCCGGCCGCGTCATACCAAAAGACGTTCAAAGATGGAACATGTTGTTACCCTGTCTGGCGCTCGACATTAAGGGGCTAAAACAAGCACGGGTCGGCTCGGAGTCAGTATACTGTGTCTGAGTGGGGTATTATTGTTAAAATAGTATCGCAGTGAGCTAAGCACTATAAATCGGTATCAGTCCGGACTAGTCCAAGCACACACACACACACACACACACACACACACACACACACACACGTGCGTGCACGTCGCTATGTAAGTGCAATAATCTTGGACGCGACGTTAAACCCAATTTCACCTCACCTCACCTTAGATCTGGACATAAATATTTGACTAAAGTCTTAAGTGTCGCACTACCCGAAACCTCTCCTTATGCTACGATCACACCAAAGTAGTGCTATCCCGTTCTACACTGTCCTAAACAAAATACTAGAACGGGCTGTGTTCACGGTAGAACGTGTAGTTTGGCGTAAAATACGATGCTAGTTCGTTCATAAGCAGTCCTCAATACGTCTATCTTGTTCTTAGCCAGTCTGCAGTCCGTTTGTATCCAGTTCAGATCGTGTAAAAGTGCCCGTTCACCTCATCCCGACAACGTTTCGAAGCAGTTCGAGCGCGTCCGTAGCCGTTCTCAACCCGTTCTCAACCAGTTCAACCTCGTTCACAATACGTCCAAGCCAGCTCTAACTAATTCTTAACCCGACCAACTCGTTCGCAGTACGTCTTCATCTCGTCCAAAGTGCGTGTGTATTCGCGTCCTGGCTCGACTCCTATGGATACCGAGCGCGTTGTAGCCAGTCTTCATTCAAGTTCAGGGCTCCGAGCTGTACACATCATGCCTCCAAGGAGAAGTCGACCCGGTCGGTGTGCACACGTTCTGAAATTTATGTCCGACTGCACGACGTCGTAACACGTCCCTAGTAGGTTCGAAGTACGACAATTCCGTTCGAAGTAGGGCAATTCCGTTCGTAATACGTCTTTCTCGTTTTAATCACGTTGTTAATCCGACTAATTGCATAACGGGATGGACGGGATAAAATTTTGAGCAGACTCAAAGTTCTAAAGCACCCTCCCCGTCCGAGCCCGTCCATGAAGTTCGTAAAAAGACGGTCAATAGTTGCTACAACGTCCACTACGTTCATACACAGTTGGAGCCCGTTCGACAAAATTTTCACGAACGTATTGAGAAATAGTTTGCTGTGATGGGGGTATTAGTCCAGGTTCACTCAGTGCCGATTATGGCTCCCGTTTGAGATCTGACTGCGCTACGACACGAAAAGTGAAAAAGTCGGATTACTATCCTCAATGATCTGGAATGTCCTATCATTTTCTGAACGCAGTCGTATACGTTCGTAACAGAGTCCTACGGATCGGGAAAGGTCCAGAGAGGTCGGCCAAGCACTCCCGACAGTATGGTGCGTCCCGTAACATTCGGGAAACTCAGACGATTTTGTCTAGTCGGATTACAATCGTGACTATGTCGTGACAGATTCTGCTGTATCGGATCAAAATCGTAACAATGTCCTGTGTTGTCTGGACGGTGTCCCGTGGATCGGGACGCTGTCGTGATGAACGGGCATGAATTGTTCATTGCCGTTTCTTGTCGATTGAGTCCAGATTGAGTCCAGATCTTGCCGAATGCATACAGTCTTTGTCGGTTCACTGCCTGATCTCTGTCGGATCCCATTCGGGAGAATCGGGACACTGTCGGTTCTTTTTTTTACCATGCGGAAGATATAAATCCGATCAGAATCGGTTTGAGAACGGGAGAATCAGGACGAATTCGGCTGGAAACGGCTGAATCGGGGCGCTTCCTGAACAATATCTAAAGCGATGTAGGGTGAGTGAGTGAGTGAGTTTGTCTCACCCCATTTTTCAGACACCTCACGAAAATATGACATAATTTAAACAAAAACGTTTTAATAGTCACTCAAATAATGTAACAAGAGTCAACCCAATTTCACCACAAATAATTCAAATAATTTAAAATCTGTCTGGATTTTAGCTGGAGAGAACGGTTGATTTACAATGCGCAGAGCATGCGTCTTGAGCTGAGTCTGGACCAGACAATCCAGTGATTGACATCATGAGCATCGATCCACGCAATTGGGATACGATGCATGCATCAACCAAGTCAGTGAGTCTGACCACCCGATCCCGTTAGTCGCCTCTTACGACAAGCATAGTCGCCTTTTACGGCAAGCATGGGTTGCTGAAGACCTATTCTACTCAGTAGACGACGATAGGCAGCAATGGTACGCCTTGGCATCTGGGCATTCACAAGAGGATAACACGATGATCCTACTCTGGCATGAATGATATAAATTTGATCCCACAAATCAGGATTAGCAGTGAAAGTCCAACCCGTGTAGATAACTTCCGCTGCCTGTACAGCTCTACAGTCGCAAATATCACCATCCTATTGCAGCAAAATCATGACGTGGAAACCACAGTGAGTGAGTGAGTATGGTTTTACGCCGCTTTTAGCGATATTCCAGCAATATCACGGCGGGGGACACCAGAAATGGGCTTCACACATTGTACCCATGTCGGGAATCGAACCCGGGTCATCGGCGTGACGAGCGAACAGTTTAACCACTAGGCTACCCGACCGCCCCTGGAAACCAAAGACATGCTTCAATTTATGTGTTCATCCGAACAGTGGTTTCGCCATGACGAGCTGCAAGCTAGGTTACCCCAGTCCTTTGACATACCGAAGTGGAGAATGCACTTCTGCATCTCAGTATTTATAGAGAACATTCAGAGTATGAAGGTTCTACTACACCAAATCAGAACCAGTTGGGACAGTGCGGTTTTCGTTGGAAGCCTTCAGTGCAGATCGAGAGATATCTGCAGGCTGTGATTGGAGGATATTGTGTAAGATTTTTATATGTCTTTTAAATGTACATCCATCCAGTTATTAAAACCATGTTTTTCTATATTTATTACTGTCTTTTTCAACATTATGACTTATGCTGAATGTGACCACAGCTATTTTCAAAGAGGTGACATTTGGTGCGAAACTGGGGGTGGTGTGTTTAGCTTCCTGTACTCGGAAAAGGAGCTGGCTAAGCTAGTCATTTTTTTATGTTTTTTATTAAAAAGGCCAAACTGTTGGCTTATTTAAGGCCAAACTGTGCACACACGTACAGGTAATAGCTGTTGAATGCTTAGTTATTTAAAAAAAATATATAACGTTACTATTGAAGTCTATGGGAAAACATTTGGTTGTGTGTAACCTGTAACATATACTTAGTTCCCTCTGTCGAAGTACACAGCGGTGGTTCAGGGGCCCGTTCCACAAAGCGATCTTAGTCCTAAGTTGGTCGTAACTCCCATACTTTATCATAGGCTTACGATTAACGTAGCCCTAAGATCGCTTTGTGGAACGGGGCCCAGATCCCCGTTCCACGAAGCGATCTTAGCGCCAGATGATCGTAACCCCCAGATTTAACATAGGCTTGAGGTAGTCGTAGCGCTAAGATTGCTCTGTGGGACGGGCCCTGGTCTCACCAACTTATATCTGGGGTCGGCGACCTCCACTTGAAGTACAGGGTTACTGTGACATACAGACGCAACATACAATACGTACTGAATACGTACAATCCATGAGGGCCTGAACCTTTCAATCACGCGGATTAACTGAAAGTGAAATTGCTATTTCGAGATCTTTACTTTACAAAGAGTTGGTCTTCTGGCGAAGCTCGGTGTTGTCGGGGGTCTGAGGGACAATGCCTCCCCCTGCCCTGTAGTTGTGGACTACAGAATAATTATTATTCCCCCGTCACTTCCCACCCCTATCCCCTTTATTCATAGCCCTGACTCCCTACACTGCGATAGAATGTTAGCCAGTGGCTTATCGGGGGACAGGCCGATAAGCCGCGGTAGAGAGTGATACGCGCTTATTGTATCGATAATATTGGATATTGATTGATTGATTTATGAACGGTTAAATCCGTATGGTCAGGCGGTTATTGATAAGAACGTGGGACCTAAAAGAGCCAGACGGAGAAAACACGGCACCGATAAGGTAAACTAGAAGACTGTACTGATGTTAACTCTATGTTTGTGTTGGTTGGTCATCCGACGTTTGTACGTTTAAGATTTCTGTTTTAACGCTATTCCCCGGGATTTCTGCAGTGTTGTCTGTCTGTGGGGAAGGAGAACGAAACAGGTGAGAGGCTTATTACATCCTTGAAATTCAATGGTTAAGGTATAATTCTAAATGAAATGTCACCATTGGAACGCAAATTTGATACTCTGATGCAAACAATTTGATTTTAAGGTGAAATAGTACTGGGAATATCTCACGATTATACATATATCAAATGTTATATTGTGTTGTATGTTTGTAATTACAAAGAGGAATTAGATATTGAAAAAAATGTCTTCTTACTCCCTACATTACATTCCACCCATTACTCTGACAACTTCCTCCCTGCAAACATTCATCACATTATTCTGACCACTGACTCTCTGCACTACTTTCCTCTCATTACTCTGACAACTTCCTCCCTGCACTACTTTCATACATCACCCTGACCAATGCCTCTCTGCACTACTTTCCCCTCATTACTCTGACCACTGACTCTCTGCACTACTTTCCCCTCATTACTCTGACCACTGACTCTCTGCACTACTTTCCTCTCATTACTCTGACCACTGCCTCCCTGCAAACATTCATCACATTACTCTGACCAATGCCTCTCTGCACTACTTTCCCTTCATTACTCTGACCACTGCCTCCCTGAACTACTTTCATACATTACTCTGACCAATGCCTCTCTGCACTACTTTCATACACTACTCTGACCACTGCCTCCCTGCACTACTTTCATACATCACCCTGACCAATGCCTCCCTGCACTACTTTCCTCTAATTACTCTGACCACTGCCTCACTGCACTACTTTCATACATTACTCTGACCAATGCCCCCCTGCACTACTTTCCTCTAATTACCCTGACCACTGCCTCCCTGCACTACTTTCATACATTACTCTGACCACTGCCTCCCTGCACTACTTTCATACAATACTCTGACCACTGCCTCCCTGCACTACTTTCCTCTAATTACTCTGACCACTGCCTCACTGCACTACTTTCATACATTACTCTGACCACTGCCTCCCTGCACTACTTTCCTCTAATTACTCTGACCACTGCCTCACTGCACTACTTTCATACATTACTCTGATCACTGCCTCTCTGCACTTATTACTCTGACCACTGCCTCTCTGCACTACTTTTATACATTACTCTGACCACTGCCTCCCTGCACTACTTTCCTCTAATTACTCTGACCACTGCCTCTCTGCACTTATTACTCTGACCACTGCCTCTATGCACTACTTTCCTCTCTAAAATCCCAAAAGACGGCTACCTCCATGTAGTGCTACCACCAATACTACATTCAATTGTATGGCTTTGGTCCGAGCTCCAGGCGTGTGTTTGGCACATGCCGTCTTATATTTCGATCTTTTCTCTTCATGTTTCTACAAATCAATCAACTGATTTCATTACTTTTGGGAGTTAAACCCGAATCTGAACTCTTAATCAATACCAACATGTAACTATTATTACAGTGCAATTTCACATGGTGAAAGAATTTGAATTAGGCTACAGCCTTAGTGATTTGCTGTTTTGGGTTATTGTTGGGCCTTGATTTGTTACAAAGCTCATTATCATATGGAGTGAGAAAACACAATGTTAGCTTGCAAATCAGCTCTCAGCCGTCAGTCCGTCCCGAGTATATTCAAAAGCTTCGGTAATGGAACTGCCGTGGACGTGTGTGCAAGGGATACCTACCCTGTTACTCTTAAGTCGTCGCTGGACAAGTATCTGAATTTGGCAGCATTCACCTTCCAATGTTATTCCTTCCTATTATGATACGAGTAAATACCCAGGGTACATTCCCATTGCTTTATTTTCATTTTCATTCTCAGTCCTATTCGAAAGGCACAACGCCAAAATAGCCATCCAAACATATTACACTAGGGGAGAGAGCTATTGGGTGTTGTGTATTTATCATAGAGGTGTAATGCACTGGGTAATAAGTCACCATAATGTATTAAACATTACTCATCCCAGAAATGTATGACAATAATTAACTGCATTTACTAGGGCTAAAGGCTGACGAACTGGCAGTCCCAGGTTTGACTCGTTCAAACGTCACTTTGGTTAACTTTATTAAGTGGCATTTTGAAGTTGGTTTGATGAACAAGGGAGATAAGTCTATCCTGGTTATAATGCTCCTGCCACTTGCACGATGACGGTGTTGTTTTCTACACCGATACGTCATTGTATTAAAGAAGTTGTATATTCATAGAACTATCTTACTTGTTGACCCTTTGGTTGTGTACTGACTCAAATACACTACTCATAGGAAAGTTAAAGAGTGTGTGAGTGAGTTGGGTTTAACGCCGCTTTTAACAGTATTCCTGTTATATCAGCTTAATGTGGGAGGAAAGCCCGAAGTGATGCAGGTCTCAGACGTTTACCACTTCGGTGAAACCCACGAGCACAGGTATGGTACTGACAAACCTAGAAACATAATCGGGGCGAACCGGGATTCGAACCCACAATCATAGGTTTCTGGCGTGCCCGTGGGACGCAACCCTGCACAGCGAATCACGGCGCCTTAGACGACTGGGCCACCCGTGCCCTAGAAAGTTAAAGAACAAGACAGATTTACTATAGTTACATGAAAAAAGAACGGATGTTCTTTAACTTCTATTCATATAAATACACACAACTTTTTAAGTATAACCACACCATGCAATTCGACTTGGTTTATTTTAGTTTCGTATATTTAAAGAGATGTCTAAATTAATAATTTCAGCTTAGATTATGCACCTGGGACCAGTGGCGGATTAGTCGTGAAGATAAACTGAACTGACACCTTTCAATATGGCGTCCAGAAACGACACGGGGGGCTCCGCAGTTTCCGGGGAAGATCTGGACCACGCCCATTATCCCGACGGTGGGTCTGACCACGAGGCGGTGGAGGTGGAGGATGTTGGGTCAGAGGCTTCCAAGAGCGGCGGAGCCTGGACTGTTGCGAGCGGAACCGGAAGTCCCGACGAGCTGATGCTTCTGGAGAGCGATTGTGCGCCCCCCTCCCGTGAAGACAGCGTCTGGAGTGGCGGAAGTCGGAGGGGACGAAGTGGGGGCGGGTCACGTGTGTCGTATGACAGTAGTGACAACCAAGAGGGTCTCGGGTTTCGCTCACGCGATGACGGTGCGTGTTCATACGCCAATAATCGGACCGGAAATCTCAGTAGCAGGCAGTCCACTTCTTCGGAGCTTCGTCTTCAGATGGACCGGATGCAAAAAGCGGACGAGGAAAGGAAGATGGCAGCGAGGAAGAAAAGAGATGAAGAGGTTGCGCTTCTTCGTAGGAAAATGGAAGAAGTAAGGAGGCGAAAAGGTATTGAACTCGTGCCGGGGTCACGTGATAGCCGCGGAGTGATACGAGCGTTCCTGACCGAGGAAGAGAAAATGGCGATGGAGAGTCAACAGAAAGATCTCGCTCGAGAGTCAGTGGAAATGATTTCACAAATAAAATCAAAACATGGCATTCCAAAGGACAAAGAATCGTCTCCTGACGTGGTGGTCATGGCAACTGAGTTCTACAGCAGCAAGGAGATGCCAAACGAGCTGCTACCTGATCACATCCGGCTGAATCTCACCACCGAGGAGATCCGGGACCTCAAGCTGGTGTTTGACATGTTTGACGTCAAAGGAAGGGGGTAAGGAGGATCTGCCTAAATACCTGTAGTGAGTGAGTTGGGTTTAACGCCGCTTTGAACAGCATTACAGTTATATCGCGGCGTGTCAGCTTCATGTAGGAGGAAAGCCCGAACTGATGCAGGTCTCAGACGTTTACCACTTCGGTGAAAGCCACGAGCACGGGTGTGGTGCTGACAACCTAGAAACATAATCGGGGCGAACCAGGATTCGAACCCACAGTCAAAGGTTTCTGGTGTGCCCAAGGGACGCAACTCTGCACAGTGATTTGCCAAATACATGTACAGTTAATTTATATCGGAGTGAAGAATTGATCTTGAGTGTAGATGGTTGAGTGAATGGGAAAAGGGGTAACGAAAAAGCGACAAAGCACAAATGAGTTCGAGATGCAAAAACACTGGTTAAATATTTTACAAAATGTATTTTCTTGATACATACAGTTCCATATTTGAACTGATCCCCTGCAAGTTCAAATACCCTTGTTGTCAATGGCAACTGTAGCTGTGTTTATGTGGCCATATTACCTATCTGGGTACGGGAACTCTTTTACAAAGAGTTTCCCTGAATCTAAACATGTCTAGGTCTGTGTTTACATTCTAATGACATCTTTACAGTGTATAAGCATCGACACATATACCTAATTAATACTCACAGCTCAGGGAAGGACTTTGTAAAACAGTTCCTGTACCCAGATAGGTAATATGGCCACATATACTATTTCGCTTATTCAGGAACCTGACAATACAAAAGTACATCTGATAACTACCAAAGACCTTGAACATCTTTAAGTTACCAGCATCCAACCACAAATTATCACGTTTAGGGTGAGGTGAGGTGAAATGGGGTTTAACGTCGCGTCCAAGATTATTGCACTTATATAGCGACGTGCATGTACGTGTGTGTGTTTGTGTGACTGTTTGTACTAGTCCGGACTGATGCCGATTTATAGTGCTAGCTGACTGAGATACCATGCCGCAGTTTAACACAATACCCCACTCAGACACAGTATACTGACTCCGAGCCGACCAGTCCTTGTTTTAGCCCCTTAAAGCCGAGCCGACAGGGTAACAACAAGTACCATCTATTAACGTCTTTTGGTATGACGCGGCCGGGGACCGAACCCCGGACCTTCCGCTTTCCGGGCGGACGCTCTACCACTGGACCACGGAGGCGGTTATTACGTTTAAATTGCTATTGTGACAATGGCATGTAAAGAAAGCTACAAAAACCTTTTTCCATATTTAATAGAAAACTCTGCAAAAAGCAGAGTCGATTCGCGATTCCAATTATATCGTGAGCATGTGTTTATGAATCACTATCAAAATGTTATGATACAAGGGGTTCGCGAAAAGTGAGCGTATCCTGCCCCATCGGTGGCACCCGTTACAAACACATGCAAAGGCAAGTCAATTGTTAGCCTGAAAAAACATGGGAACATATGGTACAAGTCAAAATAGGGAATTGCATCGGATATCATTTTTGTCACTGATGCGTCAAATGTCAAAATGTCCTCCACATGTCTACCATAACACTTTAAGCATGTGGTGACTTTGACGTGACTGTTGCAGCTACATCATCTCCTACGACCTGAGGAGAGCAGCGGGGATGCTTGGTTTCACAGCAAAGAAACACGTGTTTAAGGAGATGATAGGTAAGTTTGTAACTGGTGGAGCTAGGAGCTGGTGGTTATTGCGAGAGAAGCATTGTGTCACTAGGGTTGGTGGAATTGGAGTTGATGGATGGGCCTGGGATGCTGGTGGCTTGAGATAGGATATCGATGGATGGGCCTGGGATGCTGGTGGCTTGAGATAGGATATCGATGGATGGGCCTGGGGTGCTGGTGGCTTGAGATAGGATATCGATGGATGGGCCTGGGATGCTATTGCTTGAGATAGGATATCGATGGATGGGCCTGGGATGCTATTGCTTGAGATAGGATATCGATGGATGGGCCTGGGATGCTGGTGGCTTGAGATAGGATATCGATGGATGGACCTGGGATGATGGTGGCTTGAGATAGGATATCGATGGATGGGCCTGGGATGCTGGTGGCTTGAGATAGGATATCGATAGATGGGCCTGGGATGCTGGTGGCTTGAGATAGGATATCGATGGATGGGCCTGGGAAGCTGGTGGCTTGAGATAGGATATCGATGGATGGGCCTGGGATGCTGGTGGCTTGAGATAGGATATCGATGGATGGGCCTGGGAAGCTGGTGGCTTGAGATAGGATATCGATGGATGGGCCTGGGATGCTGGTGGCTTGAGATAGGATATCGATGGATGGGCCTGGGAAGCTGGTGGCTTGAGATAGGATATCGATGGATGGGCCTGGGATCCTGGTGACTTGAGATAGGATATCGATGGATGGGCCTGGGATGCTGGTGGCTTGAGATAGGATATCGATGGATGGGAATAACTATGATATTTTATACAAGTAGGGGTAAAAAAAAGTTTGAAGCTAGGTTGTTATGCTGTTATATTCACTTGTGGCATCTTTTAGTACTGACCTATGCTTGTTGAGTCATTGTCCACAATTTAGCGTGCCCAGTCTTGTGACTTGTTGATAGTTGAATTCGACTGAACAATTGGACACTCTTTATGACACTCCATGTGTGAGAAGAGACCACAGTCTTCTCGTATCGGTCATAAGAAACAATCCTTCATGAACATCTAAATTTGTGAAAGGTTTGTGCTCAATAGGTTCCACAAAGGCCACTGGGGTCACCACCTCGAATGCCTTGTTATCCAGATAGAATCGCAGCCCATAACATTTTCATATTAGGCTAGTGACGAGTGATGAGTCATGGATGCATTACCATGATCCCGAAGGAAAAACCCGACTGAAAACACGTCGGGTCTCCCCAAACCAAGAGGTTTAGAGCAACCAGGTCCACTGAGCAAATTTGACCACCTAAATGTGGACAGCAAGAAGACATAGTGGTTACTTACCACAGGAAAGCATGCCAACTTATTGAAGAGATTGAGTTTATGAAAGAGAAGCATCGCGGCAGACTTGGTGTTCTCCACCAGGACAATGTTCCTGTTCACACCAGTCATGTTGCAATGGCTGCAGTTCGGGAAAGTGGATGCATCAACTTCATCCAACCTATTCACCCCTGGTGACTACCACCTGTTTTTAAATCTGAAAAATACTTTTTTGCATGGTCAGATATATGACGAAGACCAAGAATCGGTTGCTGTTAGGAGCTGATTGACCGACCAGGATTTGACATTCTACAAAACACGGATAATTGACCTGGAGAAGAGACGGAACTGAAAAAGAACTTGGTTGAACATTTATTAAAATGAAATAGAATATACTTAGGACATTATTTCAATTCTATGTATGCTATGATTACACCTCGTATATTGAGACAGGGTGTCGATGGATGGAACTAGGCTTTTGGATAAGACTGGTGTGTTGGTGGACAGTGCAAAGGTGTCTTGTTTTTTCAAAGGCGGAGCTACGGCGCGTATGGGTAGAGCCAGGGTGTGGAGGATGCAGCTAGAATGTTGATGAGTGGAGCTAGACTGTTAATGGCTTTGACTAATGTGCTGATTGATGGAACTGAGTTGTTGATGGGTGGAGCATGGATGTTGAGGTGTGATCTGGGGTGGGTGTTTATGGGTGAGACTAGTTTGTTGATTGATGAGCTAAGCTGTTGATGGGTGGAGCTAAGCAATTTAATGGGTGGAGCTGTGATAATGAAGGCTGTAGCTAGTCTGGGTGAAACTAGTGTATTGATTGGCTGAGCTAGGGTATTCATGAGGGGATAGTGTGTTGGGGATGGAGCTTGGGTGTTTAGCTAAGACATCGAAGGGTAGAAATGGATCGGAATTGGTTGTTGATAGGTGTAATCGGTGCGCTGGTATTATGTGTTTAGAATTCTAACGTTTTTCCCTATGGTTGGTGAAACTTGAGGCTGACCCGGGGTTCGAATCCTGACATTTATATGTGTGAACTTCTTTATTTTAATAATTTACATTGGTAGTCTGTATCCAACCTAATATTCAACCTACTCCGCCATTTCAATTTCAGACGAGCTTTCCACAGATCAAAAAGGGAAGGTCACTTTTATCAACTTCTTGGAGTTTATCATCAAGTCGCAGGGTGAGGGGCCAGATCCATACGAGGAGATCATACAGGTTGGTAGCATTCAGTCTGTACACTCGTCCAGGAGATCATACAGGTTGGTAGCATTCAGTCTGTACACTCGTCCAGGAGATCATACAGGTTGGTAGCATTCAGTCTGTACACTCGTCCAGGAGATCATACAGGTTGGTAGCATTCAGTCTGTACACTCGTCCAGGAGATCATACAGGTTGGTAGCATTCAGTCTGTACACTCGCCCAGGAGATCATACAGGTTCGTAGCATTCAGTCTGTACGCTCTCCCAGGAGACCATACAGGTTCGTAGCATTCAATCTGTACACTCGTCCAGGAGATCATACAGGTTGGTAGCATTCAGTCAGTACACTCGTCCAGGAGATCATACAGGTTCGTAGCAGTCAGTCTGTACACTCGCCCAGGAGATCATACAGGTTGGTAACATTCAGTCTGTACACTCGTCCAGGAGATCATACAGGTTGGTAGCATTCAGTCTGTACACTCGCCCAGGAGATCATACAGGTTCGTAGCATTCAGTCTGTACGCTCAACCAGGAGACCATACAGGTTCGTAGCATTCAGTCTGTACACTCGCGATCGTCCACGAGATCATACAGGTTCGGAGCATTCAGTCAGTACACTCGTCCAGGAGATCAAATAGACACTAAGGCCATTGTTAGTCAAAATACGAGTATGGGCGTTATGACGTTCTTAGTGCTAAGATCGTTTTGCACAAGTGGGCCCTGGTCGCCATCATCATAGAATAGTCACAGAGCTTACAAAAACGTGAAGATCCGGGTTAGAATTGGTATCCATCAACCCATGCTTGTCGTAAGAGGCGTAGAGGTTGTTGAATGTGATCGTATCCCAATTGCGTAGATAGATGCTCATTATATCAATCACTGGACTGTCAGGTCAGGCACGATTATTTACAGACCGTCGTCATATAGCTGGAATATTGCCGAGTGTGGCGTTGAACAACAAACAAACATAATCAGAGATAAGATTGCTTTGTGCGGATGATAAAAAAACTGATAGGTACGTTCACAATATTGTTTCTGCCTCAACTTTTACAGTCGGCTCGTCACAAAATGGTTGAAATTCTGTCGATGCGACTTACTCAATCACTCCACAGTCGGCCTGTTAAAGTTTGTTACAGTAGTCTGATATAACTTCCCTTGTGGTACGTCTCGCTGCATTGTTACCTTGGTAACTATCTAATTTCAGTGTTTTCATCTTCTGGACGTATCTGGGAAAGGTTTCCTGACTTTCTCTGACTTGCGGGAGGCGGCTGACCACACCCAGGTGCGCCTGTCCAACAGGGCGGTGCGGGAGATGCTGCAGGAGGCCGACGTCACGGGGGACGGGAAGATCACCCCCGACGAGTTCGTACACATCATGTTGCAGACCAACACCTTCAGACTGACCAACAAGGGCAGGACCAGGCTGAAGTGATGCTGTAAAAAACTACCAAAGTTCAAAAGTGACGTTTATGATACTTGTGCTACATGTGATATCTACAGACTTGTGGCAGCGACAAGCGCTTACGGTCAAAGGGAGATAACTCTAGATACCGGAAGTGATAACGAATGTCAACACTGTTGTTAACTTTATTGCTATTTACCTCATTATTCATACATCATCATAATCATAATCATCTATATGTTGATTGGTTGTCTTGTCTACAGTTGCATGTCAGTAAATAAATCTTTAATGTACTTAACGCCCTGATTTTCAGTCTCTGGGAATCTCTCACCAGATCTTCCCCTTCAACCTTCTGTCCATCTTTAGACATTTTTTAACACCTGCAGGGCTTCCCTCAGTCTATTTATATCTTGCATTAAGCACCGCCTTTGATGCTTAATGCAATGTCTTCTAATTGGCCACCTACAGGTAGCTTCCTTCCATACCTGACTTCCTCCTCACTTCTTGTGCTGCTGTTGAGGAGGAAGGATATGTTTTTTTCCTCAGGTATGGAATGGCCACTTTTCAATCTGTTTTCATCTGCCTCTGTCAGAAATTAGTATCTATATTAGGGTGCTGAATTTAACCGAATAACATATATAATATCTTTAAAAGTAATATTAAATTAGTAAATGAAATATTAATATTATATAACTAATTAATATTAATTGACCACATGGTCAATTTTGGCCCATGTGCTTTTTCAAGTATTATATAATGTTAATGTTAGATTACTACTAGTTTTATTATGGTTACAAAATGGCTTTGTACTTCTATGTTAAAATATATATACCTGTAATTCTGCAAATACCTGACTTCATGTGCTGCTGTTGAGGAGGAAGGATGTGTTCTTTTCTTCAGGTTATTTCTTCAACAGCAGCCAGCCCCATCATGTAATAAAAGCGTAAACATCATCTGCTCGTGTCTGTGTTCTCCACCAGCCTGAGCCGGATCAAATACACCACCCCGGCTACAAATTTGGCGCCCAACTTCGGGCTGAGCACGTTCATATTAAATTTGAGCAAAAGTACCCTACTGTGCGACCCGGGACGTGCCTTCTTTTGACGGGGGAGTATGTAGCAGGGCGTGGAGTCATCACACCGATGACATCCTTACCTTGACAGTTTGTTAACGGGGTTGACCTCTTTGGTCATGTGGACAAGGCGTCAGACCTCTTATCAGAAGGTCCGTGGTTCGAATCCCTTCAGGGGACTCGATTTTTTTATGGCCGCTAAGTATGACTGGTAAGTAATGGTATGTGATCGAATATCGATATCTGGTTCGGTAGTGAGGATGGAACGGAGATGGTAGAATAGCAGAGTCTGAATCTTGAATAAACAAGTGGTGTTGTAACGAGCTGTTACGATCTATCACTATCCTGTACAAGGGGACACATATAAGGCGCCGTATTTCGCTGTGTAGAGTTGCGTCCCTTATGTGTGCAAGGAACCTATGATAGTGGGTTCGAATCTCGGTTCGCCCTGATTATGCTTTCAGATTTCTCAGCAACATACCCATTCTTGTGAATTTCACAAAAGAAAAAAACGTCTACAACTTGCATCACTTCAGGTTTTCCTCCCATATTAAGCTGACAGGTCGTGATATAACTGAGATACAGTTCAAAGTCTTATTGGAATAAGACCAGACACATTAATGCTCAAATAGTAAGTGAACAAAAGCCATGAAGAACTTTGCTCTTGCATAAACGCCCGTGAAGATCCGGTGTAGAATTGGTCTTCAGCAACCCATGCTTGCCGTAAAGGGCGACTATGCTTGTCGTAAGTGGTGACTAACGGGATCGGGTGGTCAGACTCGCTGACTTGGTTGATGCATGTCAATTGCCAGGATTGATGCTCATGATATCAATCACAGGATTGTCTGGTCTAGACTCGATAATTTTCGGACCGTCGTCATATAACTGGAATATTGCTGAGTGTTGCGTTAAACAACAAACAAAACAAATCTTGCATAAACAAACGTAAATAAAAAGAATTTTATTTGGAGCCCTACATTTCTGCTTTCCACTAATCAGTGAATTAATGAATGTGCGTCTTTTTATGTAGCATTTTACGGTTACGGTGGAGTAAACTTTATCGAAAAGTACGCGGATATGTATTTATATAAAAATGATAGGCCATCTGACACATTCAATTATGTTCTATCGCCATAGAAGGATTAGCATGGCTTCCGAGCTTTCTGAATATCAAAGTTACAGCGCATGTTCAGTAATGACCGTCAAACAGACCCTGAAACAAATATATCCAATTCGGCCGATGCGAGTCTGTAATATTTGGCAAGTCTAGATTTCCTGCAGTATCAGGAGGAGAGTTTCTGGGCTCCTTTTTATTGTATTTTAATAACTATAGTTTAACAATTGTTTTGATTTGAGACTTAAGCTGTTTTATTACCCAGCCAGGAATGTTGTTCGAATTGTTTAACACAATATTTAATACTGGTTTCGAGCTTTCATGATATTTTCGTAACTGCTTTCGGGCGTCAAGTGAGAGACCCGACTACAGGTACTTGAACGCATCGTCGTTCCTGGTCATCATGGTCAGTTAAGCCATGACTTTGCAGCTCGCCTGGTCAGCATCGGGTCATCTATGTCAAGGAGTGATTGGTCTATCGACGCTTACTCCGTATTGTCTCCATCAGCATTTATACTCGCATGATAAAGAAACGCAACACCAGCTCTAACTCACATTAGTATTACTTACTCTCAGTCCATCCATCAATACACGACAGGATCAGACCGGTCAGGCTCGTCACTGAGTGGAGAGAACTTAGAACGATCGGGTGCAAACCGCGCTCTTCTCTCCTTATGTTGACGGTATCATTTTAAAGTGTTCGCAACTGGCCTGTCTTTGTCACATGCTTGCATAGATCATTTTAATTGGTTAAGAACAATATCAGACCATGAACTCGTGTTAGTGAACCTACTAACCGATTAAAGATGCCTATTGATTAATTGGCGACAACACCACCGAAGCTATCCCGAAATATCCTGTGAATGTCATCGCCCTATTGATTTCCTGCTTGTTTCCGCCAACACTTCGGCTTTCTGTCTCCATATTTTTTAAAGCTATAACCATCAATTTAAAGGTTGTTTGTTATTTTTTGTAAGGTTTTGGGGACGCTGTTTACCTTATAACAATATCCAAGCAACTCAAAAACCACATCATAACAAAATAATCTAACAGTTGTAACCCCAATTGGTAGATGCATATATCTACCACAAGTCATCTTCCTGAGGCAAACCGCCTCCGTGGTCTTGTGGTAGAGCGTCCGCCCGGAGAGCGGAAGGTCCAGGGTTCGATCCCGGGCCGCGTCATACAAAAAGACGTTAAAAGATTGTACTTGTTGTTACCCTGTCTAGCGCTCGGCATTACGGGGCTAAAACAAGGACTGGTCGGCTCGGAGTCAGTATACTGTGTCTGAGTGGGGTATTCATGTGAAACTGCGGCATGGTATCTCAGTGAGCTAGCACTTTAAATCGGCATCAGTCCGGACTAGTACAAGCAGCCACACACACACATACACGTGCATGCACGTCGCTATATAAGTGCAATAATCTTGGACGCGACGTTAAACCCAATTTCACCTCACCTTCCTGAGGCAAGAGTTAACTGAGTGTAAAAGTCCAGTTTCCACCCTTGCCGAACTATGCTGGAATTCCTGGACTCGACCGTAGCGCCACCAGTGGTTGTTACGAGTTATGTCCCTTCTATGCTTCTCCTATGGACCAATCAGATTCCACCTCTCGTATCACTTGTATTTGCTTCAAAAAAACGTCGGCGCCCAGTCAACACGATCTAATCGATAATCAAGATCTATATATTGTGATAAAACGACTCTTAAATCGCGAAGTGCATCAAATCACGTGAGCATATATGTTGACAATGAGCTAGCGGTGCACATGCTTTGCTAATCCTGTAATCGACCGAAATCTACATGACAAATTACGAACCGGATTTCGATTTCGGAGGGCGATTTTGATTGGACTATGCCTAGACTCGTTAGTCCAGCCAAAATGTAACTTCGTAATACCAGCCTAGTTCGGCAAGGGTGGAAACTGGACTTTTATAGTCAGTTAACTACCTTGCCTCGGGAAGATGACAACAAGTATGTTACAACATCACGTAACACTGGTGTGGACATTTATCAATTGATGAAATGTGTATTCAGTGTTTAATGCGCCACATAGCATATTAGTTGTGTAACAGGACAGGCTCTGGGCACCTTATATTTGCATGACTTTGCGTTGTGATTCTTTTATTAAGGATATATTGATGCCGAAAATACTAAAGAAGGTGTCTACGGTCCCTCTGTCTGTCCTTTACGACCTCAGTTCGTTGGATGTAGGGAGGTGATTAAAAAAATATATAATCAAGTTTCAACAGTTTATTACAGAAAAATAAAAAAACCCGAAAAAACCCAACTGTAACAAAATATAAATACGAACTCAACAACAATTACAAATCAGTCATTCCTATTCCTAACTAAAATTTACATTATTAAGCCAAAAATCCTACTAACTTATACCTTAAGAATAAAACTCAGAAGCAGCCTAAAGCAGACGAACAAACCCCTCACTAACCCACTTTAATAAATAATCCCTACAGCATCCTTAACACCGTCTACGAGGACAAACAAACCACCCTTCCAAACCTCCGAACACAATCGGTCAATGTAGCTACATCACATAGCTTACATTATTTCCTAATTAAATCCACCCATCCAGGAATTGTTCGACCTCCGAACAGGTAATTTGGTGTGGTCTCCCTCACCTGTAGTGATCTTCCCGATCATGCAAGACAATGAGAGCATTCGCGCCCATCACTTATATACTCGCAAGGACACGTAACCTCTGGGTCAACACGTCTAAACGGTGCAGCCACTGGTTATTCCAGTCTGTCACCAACCAATCGGGGCGCTCTTACCATACGACCCACGACTGAAAACACTAAATAGGCCTGCAGCCGACAAACGTACGTGCCCGCACGTGGGGCAAGATCTGAAACGTGCTGTCCCAAGCGAACTACATATCGGTAAGGAGCTATTAACCACGTAAATGCTGCCATCTATCCTACATAATCAGAGGAAATTTCAATATTTCTACAGTTGTAACCGCTAGTTGATAAACCCGTCATATCCAACTGCAATTGAGCATCCGATAGTAGGAATTCAAAACAAATTTGCAAAGCTTACCGTGATTTTCATTAACAATTGTTGTAGGTCTTTAATGTTGATCTTTCTAAGATACGGGGGCTGGTCATAAAGTTCTATGTCTGACTAACTTTAAACTATGGACCATAACAAAGTGAACTGGTCAGTATAGTACATTGTTTGAGTATTTCATTGCAAGTACATTTTAAGGCTGGGAAAACAAGCCTTGATGTTGACCCTAGGTCTGGAGGTCCCTCAACTTCCATCAATGAAGATTGAATCAAAGAGATAGAAAAACTTATACTGTCAGATAGACTATTACCATTGCTGAACTTGATAAAGACACGGGTCTTAGCCATGGGTACATTGAAACTATTATTCATGAACATTTACGGATGAATAAGATATTTCCTCGTTGGCTGCCAAAGTTTCTAAATTCTGATCTTAAGGGAAAGGGAACAGGCATTGTCAGAGACAATTGAGAGCTAATTGAGGAGGATTTCGTCAAATTCAGAAAAGGATTAGTAACGAGTGAGGAAACATGGGTCTACCATTATGATCCCGAGACATAACGTCAATCCATGGAATGGCACCATTCCACTTCTCCGGTACCAAAGAAATTCAAGCCTTCAAGATCAGTGAAGCAAGATATGGCCACTGTTTTCTGGGATACAAAGGGTGTGATCCTTGTTGATTACTTAGAAATTAAAAAAACCGATTACCGGTGCCTAGTGTGTTGATTTGCCTCATCGCCTGAGAGATTCTATCAAATAAAAGCGGCGAGGAATGCAGATTCCTGTCCTACTACTTCATGACAATGCCTCTTCTCACACCTCTCGACTTGCAAAGGATGCTGTGCGAC